ACTTGCAGCTTCCAGAAATAAATCACTGTCATTTATAAGCCACCCCGTCTGGTATTCTGGTTTAGCAGCACGAACACATGAAGACCAAGTCCTGAATGAGCTTGAAGCCCGATGCTACCCTGGCTGACTGTAGCCCATGGGACATCCTGAAGCAGAAGGCCCAGCTAGACTTTGCCAACTCCTGCTCACAGACACTGTGAGACAACAAGCTGGTGTTCTTTTAAGCCACTAAGTTTTGGGATAATTTATTACACAGCAATAGATAACTAGTACACACAGTGAGTGATGGAATTTCCTAGCCTTAGGTATGGAAGAAGACAGCCACCTCTCACCCAGACTGGGATGTGTCACTGGTCCTATGTGTTAGAAAGCCTTTTGCCAAGGGAGAGATGGGAAGGACTGTAGAGCAGCCACACTGTTGTGCTACTGGGCCATCAAGGGAACACAAGTAAGGAATAGCAATATTTTGGGGAGACATCCCCCAGATACAGCACCCTTCCCAGGCAGACAGTCCCAGACCACCTTCTGAAGACACTGCACCTTTCTGTTAGTATTTCTTCATATGCCTACCGTCCTTATTTAGTTTATGAGCTTGTCAAGGGCAAGGATTATTTTCTAGAATATCAACCAACACGTATTATTTATGCTTAATAAATATTGGATGCTTATGGATTATGCTGGCTTCCTAGGTAGGAAGGTCAGCTCACCCGAATGAATGGGGCGGGTTAAAAATAGATGACCATCAGGAAGAGTGATGGGATGGGAACCAAGAATACGGACACCTAAAATAGCCCCTTTGTCTTTTCGGTCATTCTGGCCACTTGAGAAGCCGCAAGATGTAGCGAGGGACAGACAGATGCCAGGGTTAATGGACGTGTTTCTTTGGGGCCCTTACTACCAATAAGACATCCTTTTCTCTGCAGCCTTCTGGATTTCCATGGGACCTTCCTGTCACTACATGTAGCCGGCACTGACAAGTAGAGGGAGACTAACCTTGCTCAGTGCATATGAAGTCCACACGTGAGTTAACTTACAGGATGGGAGGTTCCACGGACCCATGGGGAAGGGTACAAACAGTCACGGTCAAGGCGGCAGAAGTCAGCATGGGACAAAGTCTCGCGTCATAACGCCAAAATAATACATTAATAATTCATGTCAAATATATTTATGGTAGGATCAGACAGCTCACGTAAGTATCTGCACGCACGTGTGTATGTGTATAAATAAAACGCAGACTACGTACGTGTGCATATATAATATGCATATTTCTTTATGTATTTTTTTCACAAAAGCAATTTTCTGTTTGCTTTTCTGTCAAGAATACCTTGAAATTATTCAGTAAGGTTAGGAACACCTTTGAAAGAATTTGGTATACCATTCTTGGCTTTGTGTTGTCTTTTTGAAATCTCTGTTTGGAGAATGGAGTCCTAATTTTGTGTTTGGCTCTCAAGTGCTAACCTTTCTTTCCTCCCCTGAAATGCAGACTCTGTGCATGTCCTGCTTTTCTTTAGACTGTCACTAGAGGGCAGCATGTACCCACGTGTAAATATCAGAGCAGGCAGCCGGCTCAATTTAGAGATAAAAAATTTACAGGCAAATTTTGTCTCCCTGTGCATGAGGAGCACAGAAAATTTTAATATCCACCAGATATCTTTATTTCACTAGTAATAATATCTAAATTAAGGATATAAAAGCCGATGCACAGGCAGACTTACTATTAGAAGTAGTAAGCTTAAATTAAGAATTCCAGAATCTTCAAATCATTCCTTTAAACATGGGAATACTGAGCATCTTGTGTTTAAACAGAACAAACCTCCCATTTCTCACTTCCTCTTACGTTTTACTTAATTTTTTTGGACTCCATTTCTGTGAAGTCAAGGATTAACAAATATTTGTGCCAGTTTTACAGAAATAATATAACTGCCAGAAATACTCGGGTAGGAATAATTAATAATATCCATTGTCATCACTGAGGCTGGATCCTCTCGACAGACTCCTTCTCCCTCCAGCATCACTACCCTGTATGTGACAAGGCCGTCAGTCATAACTTGTCTCGTGTTAGGGCAAAAAGATAAAGTCCGGCTGAAGGACTTGCCTAAGGCCACACGGAGGAAAGTGACCTCTGCGGTCATACACACAGCCACCTGCTCTCACGCCCAGATCCAAATCTGAGGCTCGAGGCCACATTCTCTATGCTTTGCTTTTTGTCCTGCTGTGGAACTCCAAGCCTGCGTGCTGTGGCTCCTTGACCTTAGCATTTGTTGTTGCTGTGTGCGTGTATGTGTGTGTGTGTGTGTGTGTGTGTGTGTGTGTGTGTGTTATGTATATAATGTATATATTTAATATATATATATATTTAAGACACAAATCTTTAAAAAGTTAAGTAGACTCCACATGTCCCATTACACAGGCCATCTTTGTCCTTGGTGCCTGTTCCTGAGGCACCTTTAGAAGGGAGGACAGCAAGGCCCAGGTTCTTAGTCCTGAGGCATGAATAGGGAGGAATCACTCAGAAGGAAGTTCTCAGAGAAGGCAAATTCCAAGAAAGAAGTTTCTAGAGAAAGGAGTAGGACAGCGCAAAGGAGAGGAAGTAGAAGAGAATCAGGAAAGAGTAGCTGAGCTCAGACCAGAGCATTAACAGCCAAGGCCTAGGGGCTCGGAGGGAGCCTGTGTGGAGCTGCCGGACAATGAAACGGGCTTGTGATCACCGGCATCTGCCTCATCTCTGAACTTTGCTGAAGGGTGAGGAGGTAGGTGATGTCCTCATGGGCTCCCAGATGGACACTGCAGAGAAAAGATGGTCCTGCACCAAAAAAAAAAAACACCCACTGCTTCTAGATGAACCAGGCCCCGGGGCCACTTCTAACTAACCCCAAGGGCAGAGCTGCTGCAGACCCAGGGTCCTCCCCATCAGCCTGCAGAGGCACCTGAGTCCTGAAGCCTCAGGAAGCAAACGGAGGGAGAGCGGTGTTGCCAGTGACGCCATCCAGACCAGGCCTGGGTGGGAGGGAAGCACTTCTCTGCAACAGAGAGTCTGGATGGGATCTCGCGACATGATGAATACATTCATCAGACCCTAGTGAGTGTGTCATTCCTGGACAACGGATTTCCACGAGCCTCTGTACGAAAAAGTTCTCATCCTCCTATTTGCTACTCGTTAGTGATTCCAGGCATCTCCCCCTGGGCTACTGGTTCTGGGTCAGGAGGGATGTTTTTAATAACAGCCTTGTAGAAAAAGGTTCATTTCATATTAAGAAAAATGAAGCTCATGGAATGTTGTATGTCAGTTACACTTCAGTGAGTAAAAGAGAAAGCTCGCACACCCCAAGCCTCTCACCCTCGTTTATCTGGGATTCAGCTGTGTGAAGGAGGGGGAGGGGAGGAAGGCCAGTTTCTGTCCTGGGGACTCTGCAGGAACTGTCCCAGAGTGTGTCTGCAAGAAAGAGCCAGGCCGCTGAAGGGGAGGGGTGCAGGAGTGACTCAGGACCCCTTCCCTCCTGGCCGGAGATCCCCATTGGCCTCGATTTCCTTTCTTCCCTCTCCGAGTACAAAAACAGCACCAAAGGTCAAATATTTTTTCTAGTGTGTCATCTTGGCAAGCCAAATCGAAGAATGTATTTGTTGAATTTCTATCCCCAAATGATCTTGGCAGGTCTGCATCAAAGAGGAAGAGGACAGTGCATTTCCTTCTGTTTAGCTTGTTAAGCAAAATCTAACAATGACTAATGAGGTCCACCACCAGCACAGTTAAGGGGTGGCCACCACCAGAGAAAGGTCCACAATAATGCCAATCTATGGGGAGACCAGCAGGAAAGCCAGAGATCCGACCTTGACTTCTGCTTTAATGAAAGAACCCTCTTTGCTGGATTCTTTGGCCAAGGAAGGAAATTTTAACTAGGTAAAGAAAAGACACGGAGGGAGATGCTGTCTGCTTGAGACATTTTGCAGCCTCGAGCATGAAATAAGGTTCAGGCTTTTTTCTTCCCTTCGGCTTAGGAGAGGGTCGGTATAGGGTGAATTACTTGGCATTTAATTGCTTTTTTTCTTACATATACCATCCCTTGGCATCTTATTCCACAGGCACTGAGTAGCCTTCAGACTTGACGCACATTGTAAAAATCTGGGAGAATGAAGCTAAATGAGGTCATGTGAAATTTCTCTTGTCAGCATGACTCCTGGAAATGTGGGAAGAAAGTCCATGAACCTACCTGCCTTTGCTCAAAGACCTTCCCAGCACCCGAGGGTCTAAAATAATTAGTCTGCACGAGTCCCGCCTTGACCTGTACTGGGCTCTCTTGTCTGTCCGCGTGGGAAAGTCAGGGTGGATGGGTGTCGTCATGCTGACTTCTGGGTTTTCTTTCACAGCTGAATAACTTCCTAATTTATTCACAGTTTATATGTTCGAAAAGCATGTGTGTTAGCAATGCTAATGATATTCCCATGCCAAGTTCAGTGTGATGTCAATCACGGTGAGCCCTTCTGTAAGTCACAAACAGTAATTACCAGGAAAATGACATGATTCCGTAGTTACGTGATGCCCTTTTAACTGAAGGCAAACCCTTTTATTATGCTGTAATCTTAGTAACATCAAAGGGTAGGTACCAGCCAGGTACCACTATCTGGGACTGGCACCAAGAAAGGATCAGACCTTACTCCGTGAACTAAGACAAGAGTAGTTAAGCCCCAGGTAACACCCCCTTTCAGATGGAACCGTACAGGGCTTTCTGCACCCTGAAAAGTTCCCTGCTCCCTGCTCCTCTGGCTCCTTGCCTGGATGGAGCCCGGGGTCAAGCTCTCAGCTGACTCTCGGTTGCCTCAGAGTCAAGGCAAAGCTCTCCAGCTGAAGGCCGGACATGCCTGGCACGCATGCTGCACCCTGGTCTGGAGGCCAGGGCAGGACACAACTGATGCTGGTTCATTCCACAGGAGCCTCGCTCCACACCCAGCCCTCTCCTGAGTCCTAGGGAGAAGGTGCAGGTGGGGCCCCTCCCGTGACCTACCTGATTACCGTGGGGGTGATCTCGGCACAGAAGAATACACTGAGGCTTCCCACCGCGTGGGAGGCGAACATGCCCACGATGGAAAACGTGATGGAGAATTTGTCCTTGACACTATCACTCATACCTGAAGGAGAATCGGAGGGAGACAGTGAGGGGGCGGGCAGAAGGGAAGGGAAAAGGAGGCTGGCAAGGCAGGTGGTGGGAGGGCGGTGCAGAGACAGCAGCGGGACAAGGGGTGGGGGAGGGACTAGGCCCACACGAAGGGTCTTCCCCTTCCCCCTTCTCAGTTCGGGGTGCAGCATGGGGCACTCAGTTCCCTCTGGAGACCAAGGAGCACTTCTAGGTGTAACGGGTCAGACCCTCTTGGTAGAAGACTTTGTTGGGGGTTCCCGTGATTGCCTGTGGGCCAGGAATGCTGGAGCTCACGCGGATTCCAGATTCCAGAGGCCACAAGCTGTGCCTGGCTGAGGGGAGGCTGGCGGTCTCCCCTGGGACTCTAGCAATGTCCCTTCTATCCCAGCCTCTGGAGGAACAAGGCCTCCGCCTCCAGAGAGCTCTGGCTACCCTGGCCTTAGGTTCGACCCATCCAAAGCACAGGACAGGGTATGCCAGGTTGGACTGAAGGGAACAAAAACTCTAATAACTCAACAGAAGAATTTATGGCCCGGAGGGACACTGCTCAACCCATCTGAGCACCCTGCCAATGGCACCAGAGTCTGACCGCACACCCAGGCAGCGTCTAGCACAGAGCACGGGCATGCGGTTGGGGTCGTACATTTGGGGCACAGCGCAGTTCCCTGCAAAGCATTTCCTGAACCCAGGGGACCTCAGAGCAGACAGTCCCAGCAGCACGGGCTCGGAGCAGGCCAGGCATGTGCGACCAGCAGCAATGCCATCCCCGTGGCCGAGAGCAGCCAGCTGCTGTGATGGACAAAGGGGGACAGCAACTTCCCCTGGCGGCACAGTCAGCAGGATGTCCGGCACTCCCTGGGGGTTTCTCATGTCACCCAGGCACCGTCCCTGAGACTGGCTGCAGCAGGGCTCCGGGCTGACTGACTGCCGAGGCCAGAGCGGGGGTTGGGCGGGGTTGGGGGAGGCCATGCGTGCAAGCCAGGCACAGACTGAGAAACGAGGTGCTCTTTCTAGAGGCAAGAGGGAGTAGAGAATACAAATGTATGCTTATAGTGTCCAACCTACGGCCAACTTCAGCTGCAACTCTTGAAGGATAAGGAGAGAGGGGGAGAGAGAGGGGAGGAAACCACAGTCTGTGAGTCTTGACGAAAAGGCCCTCTTGGGTGCAATAAAAAGCGATCAAGTGCATGGCGCGGGCCTCGGGACTCACCTGAGTCTGGATGCTGGCTGTACTTCCCAATCACTGCGGCCCCAGGAGTGACGCCCCCATGCGGACGCGGGTGAAAGTGCGTAGAGAGGGGGGAAAGAAAGCCTGTTAGGTATGAAGCCGCTACCCTGCTTTTCCATGTGACTGGCTTCTCCGTGACCTCCCTTCAGGCCTGGATTGGACCCCTGCCCCCCGCCAGGCCCATGGGGAGCAGGGCCAACACCTGCTGCAGGCCAGTTGTTAGAAGGATGCAGAGACCTACGGGCGACAGAGCCCCTGGACATGGCCTGGCTTCCAGATGTGGGGGGAAATGGAACTCTTCAGGACAGAGACCCCAGCAGCTCCTCTAGACCTCCAGCTACAGGATTAATTTCATTGTGAACAATTCTCCCCGAGTCACTGCCGGTCTGTGCTGCAGGGAGCAGCAAGGACCGCGGGGGCAGACCTGTCAGGCGACATTTCCGTGTGCTCTGAGCCCTGAGGCTCACGGCTTCTCGTGTGCACCTAGTTCCTGGAGCTTTCCTGCTCAGGGACAAGGAGGGCACCTGCGACACCCCCAAGGGGCTGCCCCTCCCTGCACCCAAGGCTCAGGAGCTTGCACAGGGCTCCCTGGAAGGGTAGGTTGGGCGGCCCCTGCCAGGGGACAGACACCACTTCTCTGTTTCCTTGTTTGTCACAGCTGAAAATAAGACCTGTCTCCCAGCAAGAGGCAGAATGCATGGGAACGTGCATGGGAAATTGCTCCCGAGGCTGAAAGGAGCTGTTCTTTAATCCAGTTTGCACAACGAGGTTGAGAAAGTTTTGAGTTTTTTTCTTTTTCTTCTATTCCGGACACTGACTTTCCTACCTCGGAGCAGGAGAAGGCTTTCTGTTTGGTCAGGAGCTCTGGTCTGTGCTGCACCTGGACAGGCCTCGAGTCCAAGTCCCAACCCTCAGGTGGGCTCTCTTTGTGAGGAGGGGAGTGATCTGTGGCCTCTGTTCCCCGAAGGGGCCCAGCCTGCCCAGGGAGCTCCGTGCCCGGCTCTTCTGGGTCTCGCTCTGGGCCGGTCAGAGGGACGCCTGGTGCTATTTCCATGCACGAGGAGCCGTGTCAAGTATGCCGCATGGATTCCCTAGTTTTTCTGTGTTATTTTTAGCACTTACTGAGGAATTCTCTGGCCTAAAGACAAGCTGATAAACTTGGGAGGAGCTGCTGAAAAGCAGTATTCCAGTTCAAGGGTGTCAAACGGCCCCCTGTTGTCCCATGAAAGAGTGCATTGTTCTTTTCCCCACGTGACCTATGACAAAGACACAGCCTGGCCCTCCGTGAAATCTCGCCCACCAGGACTCAGCGGGCCTCCCATGCAGGGAATGACCTGTAGCCAGGAAGGCTCCCAGTTCCAGTCCCAGGCCGGGGGGAGGGGGGTGAGGGGGAAGCACAGGGCACTCCATCGAGGGCCGTCACCATGGCCATTCCAGTCCTTCCCAAGGCACTTTCCTCAAGCTGTTGATTCTGGAATAACAGCTCAGGTCACAGAAAACTTCCCTCCAGTCTCACCCAGCTCTGTCCAATACGCTTTGGTCACGGGCCAGCTCTCCTCCCCCACGCCCCCCCCCCCCCCCGGCCCATCCACTCCCCAGACCCACTCACGGTTGAGGAGCCCAAGCTGCAGAAGCGAGGCCAGGGCGGTGAGAATCATGAAGAGCAGCAGCCCGCCCCTGCGCCCCAGGAGCCTGACCACCAAGCACATGGCCAGGCAGGACGCCAGGGCGATGCTGGCCACGGTGTAGTAGTCGGCATAGAAATTCTCCAGGAGCGGCACCTTCACCTCGTGGCCCATCATGCTCCGGGCAAAGCAGTGGTGGATCCCGTAGCCCGTCAGCCTGTGGGGACGCACGGCCAAGGGGGCGGTGGGCCGGCGGACAAAGGCAGGAAGGCTCAGTGACCAGGACACAGAGTGGCAGCTCAGCATGTCCTGGAAGACATGTGCTCACCACGAGCGAGTGCACGACCGGGCGCAAGGCAGAGGGACTTCAGAGACATGACCAGAGTGGGCCCCTCTTGGTGGGGGGGGCTCGCTCTCCTTCACCTTCCCTTTAGCAGAAGAGCAGGGCCACACAAGCAGTGAGGCCTTCTGTTCGAACACCAGCCAACAAATCCACCATGACAAAGCACTCCCCACGCCTCAACTCACTTCATCCCATGTGGGCACTTAGGAGCTCCTGTCAGACCCATTTCACAGATGGGCAAAAAGGCCTAAGGAGGGTAAGCAGCTTGTCCCAGTCTACTGAGCGGACAGGCGACAACTTCAAAGACATCCTGCCTGTCTGGGCCTCAGCTCTTCCTTCAGCACTCAGGGTTCTGCAAACTTGGGGATGCGTCCGGAGAACTACTGACTTAACCATGTTGCTACTGACACACATGCCCTGGGAAAGGTGTAGAAGTCAGGCCAGGTGAAGACGTCTGGTCTTGGAGACTCTGTGTCCATTCTTAATTTACACTCTTCCCCTTCCTTTGCCCTGGGTCAAGCCTCTTTTTTTCCTTCCCCCAGAGAATCCTATAAACCTGCTGGGACATGTGTGTCCTGATTGCCGGAGGCAGAAGTCCAGTCTAGGAAACGGGATTCTGAACGCACTGGGGCCCCCAACCCCCACCGCCACAGGAGGCTGCAGGTGCATGTGCCCCATGAGGGCAGCCGTGAGAGCTCATTGGTGATGTCAGCCCTCGGCAGCCATCCCAGAGCTAAAAATTTCCTTCTCTCCCAACCCCTCTTCCGTGCTTTGGGGAAATCGAAGTGCTTTTATCACACCATGAGGATGCATCAAGGTCAATGGCAACAGACCCCTGCCCCCGTAGGAGGCTGCCGTTTGCCAAATGAACTCATTTCCACGTGGGAAATCCTCGGCAGAGGGCCTGCTGGTGCCGTCCTTTTATCATCAAGCAACTGGTGAGATTTGGTTCCTCTCTGGGAATCCCAGATGACTTTCTCTGCTGCTCAGCCTACGCGGGTCTCAGGGAAATCTACCTTTTTGTTCTGGTAGGAAGGCGGTCTTCTGACCACAGCAGGGAACAAGGTCAGAGAGAGGCATCCTCCTTCCCCCAAAGAAGCAGCATTAAAATGGAAACTTGCCATCTCCTTTATGTCATAATTTGTGTTTTTTCCCCTGAACTAAAAGTTGGAGAAGTCATTCCATTTTTAATGGTCCCATTAGCCTAACTAGCTAGTGTCTGTCTGAGACTGGACAGTGGCATGGTAGCCGGGTCCGGAGCTGGCTGTGAGCGGGGAGGCTGAGGCATCAGGGCTCCAGCTCTGACCCACTGTGTGCCTAGGGCCTCTGTCCTGCCACATGTAGGACAAGGGTATAAGTAGGAACCCCAATATTGAGAACCGATTAAATGGCGCTGCTTTGATAGAAATAGCTGTGGGGATGGTTGGACCAGAGCCTTGACCACGGGCCTCTTTCCTGGACAGCAGTCCTGAGGCCTTTCACAGCTGAGTGCGAAACTGCCCCCTTCCACCATAGCCTCTAACACCAAATGGGGGTTAACACCCCACCGCACCTTAGGTGACCTCTGACCCTGAGTGAAGGCCACCTTGTGTGGTCAGGGAAGGGTGGGGTTATTAAGCTGTGGGTCAAAATGAGAAAGACCTTCTTGGTAACACTGATACTGGGGCTCAACTCAGGGCCTCTTGGTAAAGAGCAAAGCTCTTTGGGCTGGCCAAAGACCCCCCCGTGGCTGTAATTCAGGATCTAGCTATGGGAGGAGGAGGGCCCCACTGCCCTCTCCTCCAGCCCCTCTCCTTCCCAGCCTCTCCCTGACACCTCCCCTCTCCATGTCCCTCTTGCGACTCACGAGTTCACACACAGGACCACAATGTTTTTCCACAGGTTCCGGGTTCCCACCACTTTCACGATGCAGACCTTCTTGGGCCTCCTGGAAAGCTCCTTCTCCAGCTCTGCAGGGAAAGAGAGCCTGTGACCTCTCGGCAGGACCCCGGACAGGCGACCTCACGCACGTTCCCAGACGTGGGCATCATGACAAGGGAAACAATTTTTTTTTCTTTAAGCCAGGAGACAGGGTCTGGCCCTCAGGTTAGAAAACGTGTCCACAGAGACATTAGCTTTGTACTTCAAATTTCCTCGTAGGGCTGGAAGGGAGCCACAGCACGCCATCTGTGTCCCTTGCCACTGTAAAACCTTTCTCACCAGAGAGACAGGATCCGCACAAATAAGCCATCAGGGCAGACTCACTCCGCTCTGCCTGAGCTCAAAACTCAGTGACATTCTAGGTTACGGAGGCACCGGTCAGGTTCTGGCCATGTGAAAATAAGCAGTTCCTTCCCGTCTAGGGTCTGATCTGTCTGCCTCACCCGCTGCTCAGAGGCCAGGAGAAGCTCAAGATCCCTAACTTCGTGGGCAGCGATCTCCAAAAGAGAACTACACGCGTGAGTGCACACATGTGCACAGAAGGGCAGACATAAGCGTATGCACACATGTGTATGTGTACGTCTTAGTGAACAAAATTGTTTGCAACCTGAGCAAGACAGACAGTGTTTTGCTCAGTGATGTGACCAACTCCAAGGTTATGAAAAAGAGTTTCTCGTGAGGCTCAGACTAGCTCTGAAAGCCGTTCTGAACAGACTCCCAACAGACTCCAACCCCACATTCACAGGGTTAAGCGGTTTGCGGAAGCCTGGGTGTTGACGTAGCACTTTCACAGGGAAGGTCAAAACAAGGAAATGCCCCAGCCTTCAAGGTCTCCCTGTGCTTCTGGGAGCAGAAATGTCTCACATTCAGCCTCCGAGGCCCCTCCCTGTGGGTCCTCAGGGAGTCATTCTCTACTCTTGAGCTCAAAAAGGAAAAGGAGACCTGACCCACTGTTGGGTGGCCGGTGCTCCTCAAGACGGTCAAGGCCACGAGAAATAAGGCACAGACCCAAGGAGGCTAGGGAGGCGTCACCATGAAGTGTGATCCTGGATGGGATCCTGGGACAGGAAGTCATTAATGGAGAGACTGGTGACATCCAGGGAGAGGCTGGGGTCAGTTAGCCATGCAGTACCAGTGGCAGTTTCTCAAGTGAGACAAAGGTCCTATGGTAATACATTAACAATAGGGGACACGGAGTGCAGGGGATTCAGAAATTCTGTACTAGGTTTGCGACTTTTCTGTAAACCTAAAAATAGTCCAAAATAAGTTGACTAAGAAAACCAAACCAACCAACCAAAAGCAGCAGTATGGGTGGGAAGGCCCAGTCTACTGAGGAAGGCTTCCAAGCTTGGAAGAAAGAGAACTGCCTCAGGAGAGACCCTAGAGCAGTGTGTACAAAGGGGACTGAGCTACTGAAGTGCTCTCTGGTATTCCTTAGGGCCATTCCCACCCCTGGACGTCCCCACTTCAACTCTCCTCTTATACCTCCTGCCTGCCATCCCATGGCCGAAGGGACACAAACTTTATTAGTTTGGAAGGAAAATATGTAGCTTAACCATGAGGACTTAATAGCTACTTATTTAAACAACTTTTTTTTTTTTTTTTTTTTTTTGGAGGGGGGATCAGTGTCACCAGCTGGGGCATTGAAGGGAGAAGGAAAAGTCTTTTGATGTCTGAGGGATGCCATGCCACCTGAGTTTCCAGAACTTTCTTCCTTCCCCTATTTAGATGCAAAATTGAGGTCTGTGCACAAGCCAGAACAGCTAGCACTTCAGCTGTCTATCCATGGATTCCCCCCAGCTCCCAAGGTCTTCTGAACCTTTATTTTCCCCTCTGCAAACATAGGCTAATTTGATTTACAAACATCCTTTCCCCTTGGTTAAAATACTACAGAACTTTTAAAGAACATGGAAATAGTATGGTTACTGTTAACCAGTTTGATCATATGGTCTGAGTATCTTCACTGTTATAAAAGTTATCAGCAGAGGGTGGGGGGCAGGAGGGGTGTACCTGGCTGGCTCAGTTGGTTAATGATTTGCCTTTGGCTCAGGTCATGATCCCGGGGTGCTGGGATCGAACCCCATGGTGGGCTTCCTGCTCGGTGGTGTGTCTGCTTCTTCCTATCTCTCTGCTTCTCCCTCTCCCCCACCACCCTGGCTCATACTTTCTCTCTCTCAAATAAATAAAATCTTAAAAAAAAAAATCAAACTCATTAGGAATCAACTACAGTAGCCACACTTGTTCACCATTGAAATTGCCCAAGAAGAAAATGGCTGTTAGAATGTTCATATAAATTTTTTTTTTTTTTGTAACGTGGCCCACACCTAATTGCTAATACATTATTGTCTGAAACAGATGTTTAAAGAAACCACAGCAACTCTGACTGACCTGAGTGGTGGGTTTTGTTGGTGCTGTTGTTTTTTTAAATAACATTAAACTGGAGAGCCCACGGTCTACAGAACTGACCACAATCTACAGAGGTAACTGCATTATTCTAAACAGAATGAAATTAACCTGTCTGGGGCTATTGATATGTTGTTTCTGTTATACACATCACTGGCCTATTAACCACAACATAAAACTTCCTCAGCATGAAGTCTGTGTCTCTGGGACAAAATCCCCCAGCTCTGAGTCGTAAGAACCATCAGAGGACTTTTTCCATCTCTCCGGTCATCAGACCGAAAGTGGGGATGTCCTCGAGTCCTTGGACGTGGCTGCACAGGAGTACAGAGGGGATGCAAATTGGTCAGACTCTGAACCACCAAGGATGGGACTGTTAGAAGCATTTCCTCTCCCTCATTCTCTTCCCAAGCTTTCTGACCCACTGTCGTGCCCTGTCCCCACCCCCCCCACCCCCTGGCACATTTCAGCTGGACCTGTCAGGTCACAGCCTCACCTGTGATGCAGCAAGGGGTCTGACACACCTGGCAGGATCCCAGTGCTCATTGTTTTTGTTGAGCTTCCTTGGGAAGGCTGCTCTGGGCCTCTGTTCCTCGGCTGGTAAGTGGGGCAGTGCCCCGTCTTGGAGCATCATTACAAGGACCAAAGGAAGCGGGTGTAGCCCCGCATAGACCTGGTGAGCAGGCACCCTTTCTGGCCAGTGCTATGGCTGACCCAGGCGGTTCTGGCGTTCCCCCTCACCCCACCAGCTGCAGAAGGAGACGTGTCCCTGCAGACACACAGCAGTCATGACCTCAACAAACTGAAGAGATCCAGGGGAGGGGTCAACCATGCTTCTCCAGGACAGCACAGAGAAGGAGAAGGCAGTGGCAGGTCACTCAAGCCTCAGAGATGCAGGGAAAACACAGAGACAATATTTGCATTTGTTGGGAGTGGGGTGAGAGCAACTGGCTTTGCTCTTATACTTGTGTGCACTGCTAACACGTTCCTGCGGACGCTGGAGAAACACCCGTTATGGAAACGGAAAAAGAGAAGCGGGAGAGAAGGAAGAGGAGCAGGAGCACGAGGAAGAGAAGCAACTGTAGGGGGAGGAGGTGGAGCAGCAGGAGAGAGAGGAGGAGCCGGAGGAGCAGCAGTAGCAGGAGGAGCAGCTGGAGGAGCAGCAGCAGGAGGAGGAGCAGGAGGAGGAGGAAGAGGAGCAGGAGCAGGCAGAGGAGCAGCAGGAGGAGGAAGAAAAGGAGCAGGAGGAGCCGGAGGAGGAGGAGCACGAGGAGGAGTAGGAGGGGCAGGAGGAGGAGGAGCAGCAGTAGCAGGAGGAGGGGCAGGAGGAGAAGCAGGAGGAGGGGCAGGAGGAGAAGCAGGAGGAGCACCAGGAGGAGCTGCAGCCCCCTTGGCTGCCAGAACCATTCCAAAAAGCACTCCCTACAGGCTCCAAGGCAGCAGCTCTGAGGCCGGGAGCCCAGGAGAAGCCCGAGCTCAGAAGCCCAGAAAGCACCTGCTGTCTCTTCCGCGCTGCCCCTCCCCCCGCAGGTGGGGCTTTAGCGATGCCGGCACCTGGCCATTAGGATCAGTGGTTCCAGAGCAAGCCTCGGAGAACGCCTCCAGGGATCTTATCAGTCACCTCAGATAGCTCCCTCTTTAAAATCTACCCCACATTTTGACAAGTGACCCAGCAGCGCTGACCTCTGTACTTGCCTGTCATGGCACGTGGCCGCTGCTGGCCTGAAGCCCGGGGGAGGAGGAGTCAGCAGCTAGTGGGGTTAGCAGCAGGGCCCTGGAGTCAGCCGGCCGGGCTAGCCTCCGTGTCCTCACTTGCTAGTGCTGGGGCTGGGCAAGTGACCTAACCCTGGGGACGCAGTGGTGGCTGGATGCACAGATCTCCTTCTCACCTCGGTTTCTGACCAGACTGACCAGACGAAGTGGGGCAGGAGAGGGCAGAATCCAAGCTCAATCACGGAAAAGGGCTGAGTGAAGCCCCACGGGGGGCTGACGGGGGGACTCGCCATCTCCCATCCCACCAATGCTGGGCCTGCCGGGCTTCTCGGGGGGCGCTGCCCAGAGAGGGCCTGATGCCTGAGGACAGAGGACACCCGCTCCCTGCACAGGGCTTGTTCCTTCCACATGGAGTGACATCAGCAGCAGGCGGCAGTGCTCCCCAACACTTAGCCTGTCTGGGTCCCGCTGCCCCATTTGTCAAACGTGGGTGATGTGATGATTGACCTCACCAAGTCTCTGTCAAGAAGCGATGCGGGTGCAGTGTGTCTCCCAGGAAGACCTGGGGTGGGGACGGCCCTGCTGAGGGGAGGCCAGAGGTGCATTCTGAGAGCCTAATGCAGGCTGCAGAGTCTTTGAAAGGCAAGTAGACCCTGTGAGACAGGGTCCCAGAGCGGCTTCACTGAAGGTCATGGGGATCTAGCCCTGGGATTTCCGAGGGATTTCCGAGCCAGCAGTGTGAGGGGAGGGGCAGCGAGAGGGAGACAAGGCAGGTAGACCAGATAAGGGACAGGGATTGGTAGGTGGATGAGATGAGGTGTTGGGAAGAAGATTCCAAGCAGAAGAAAGCATTCTCTGAAAGTTGGAAGTGGCCAATTCCAATGAATGGGACACCTGCCTTCCCCTGGCACTGGCATCAATGCGTTTGACAGAGGGGAGTGAGCAGAGGTCTGAGACAGATGCGAACCGTGTGTCCCCAGCAGTGAGGGCCATGACTACCCTCCCGGGGCGGGCAATGTCCCACGTGTCAGCCTTCTGCAGGGACTGCCACAAATATCAGAAGCAAAGAAAGGAAAAAAAGATTTCCTACCACTTTCCAAAAATAGGAGGAAAATGAAGCAGTATAATTAGAATTGAGAAAACAAGATTTTCCCAGACAGTATTTTAACCAGAAAGAAATGGAATGCGGTGATTCCATTAGGGAAACGCCAGAAACAGATTATACTGTAGGACTTAAGAGCATTAACCAGCTAATGAACGGGGCTGGGAAAGTTTGGGAAGATGGCGTGGACTTTCTGAAATGAGCAAACAATGGCCCCCAAAGGGGAAGTTAATTCAAGGCCCGTTCTCTCCAGTGACAGTGGTGTCTCTGTCTGTGAGCTCCCCCTCCTCTTGCAGAGCAGCAGAGTGGAGCTGCTTCTGCTGGACTTCCGGAGTTCAAGTCCCAGCTCAACTACTCACTAGCTGTGTGACCTTCAACTAGATAATTCACCTCTCTGTGCCTCAGTCTCCTCATCCGCAATTCAGGATAATTACAGCACCTCTCTCGTAAGGCTGTTGTGAAGTATTCTGAGTGAATACATATAAAGCACTTAGTATTAAATATTAAGTTAGTATTTGCAAATCATTTGGGAAAGTGATTGACATACAAGCACCATGTGAATATCATCCTATTCTCATTGTCACTGGATAAAAAGGAACCCAGGTGCCCCTTTGCACAGCACTGGCACTCAGTACTCTTCATGAAAAGCAGACCTGGCTCATGGGCTTCTTTATTCCAGTAGAGCAAGGGCTCCAGGCTTCCTGAGGCTTTCAGCCTGTGCCGGGTGCCAGGCAGACCATGCCAACCCCACAGGTGGGGGCAGCCCAGCCTTTCTGTGTCCATCTCCCAGGTCGGGGTCCAGGCCAGGACACGGACGCCATCCTGGTCAAGCAGCAGCATCTGAGGACTTCTGTTGACTGTGAACCCTAGGTCTGAATCAGCAGTCCGCTGAAAAGCCTGTCTAGGAACCACGGGACAGACGGTTCCAGAAGCCCTTCCTGGCTAGCGTGATTTTCCCGCTGTGTTCCTTCCCTGTTGTGAATGGAGCTGTGATGCGTTTATTCTCCTACCTCGGTTAGGTCTCTGCTCACCTCTGTCCTTGCAGCCCGGCTCCCCCAAGCGTCTGTGAGCCCTCGCCACCACCCTCTATCTCTCCGCTCTGCGGAATTTTCTGACAGCATGCATCTCTCCTGATGGACCGTACATTCCATTGTTCCCTGTGTGCCTTCCCCTTCTTGCCTGTAAGCTGCACGGAAGAAACAAAGCTTTGCTGGTTTCCTTCTGCTCTAGAACAGTGCCTGGTACACCGTGGGTATTTAGTAAATATCTGCTGGACAGAAATCCAGATTATGGTGGGGGGTGGGGGATGCACATAGTCTCTCTTGGGCAGGGCCCACAGAGCATTTTCCTGGGACATTTATAACAACAGTACTGGCGGATTGTTGCCGTGGGTCAGAGCCTGGGGTTGGCTTTCCTGGGACCTTCAAAGGGCATGTCCAGCAGAGCTTCTTCCAGTGCTTATTAACGGTGCAATTTCTCAGAACTTACTCCAAATCTGCTGGAGCAGAATCTCTGAGTACAAGGGAGGGCAGCGGGAACATGGATTTTTAACAACTTCCTGGTGATACTGACAGATCCCCAGCCTGAAAGCCCTGATCTAGCTTCTGGTAACGCTCTTGATACACACGTGTTTGATGGTTCCGATCCCCGACACGAGTAATACATAGTATGTTAACTAACTTGAATGTAAATAAAATCTTAAAAAATAATAATATAAATAATAAAATGGATCTGAACTACTCTACAGAAAGACTTCACTTTCCTACTTCTTTAGGTGCCCCAAAAAGAGGTCATGACAGAAACAGACAGTGGCATCCCTGAAGGTCCACCCTGGGAAGACAGAGGCATTATGGACCAAGATCGCCCCATGCCAGGGCTCTGCGGGTGTATAAACCTGGCTGGCAGGCTTGGCTGTGGACCAGACTCAGGCTGGGCCCTTCCCAAATATTCCCAGATGACGAGGTATGCATTAGGCTTGTGCCTCACGTCTGGGTCTGGACAGGCTAGGTGGGGCACCACGGCGCCTTAGACTTGAATCCAACACCTGGAAGGTGGACAGAGTTTAATTCCTGTCACATTCCCGGTCCAGCTGCAGACCAACTGGGATGGAAACTTCAACGGCGAAGGCAGCTGCTTGGAAGATCGTGGGGACTCTTTGTCTGGGACGGGGGCACCTCTCCTGATTAGGGTGGGGTTGTGGGGCAAAGTGAGCGCGACTCACCAGGCATCACACCTTTGATGTCACTCTCGGGGTTCATGCAGTTCTTCTGCGTGAAGTGCAGGATGAGCTTCTTGGCAGCCTCAAACTGCTGGGTAGCCATCAGCCACCGCAGGGACTCGGGGAAGACCCTTCAAAGACACAAAGGGAAATGGGTGAAGGTCTTCGGTTCTGTAGGGAATCAAAACACACAGCCTCGGGGCGCCTGGGCGGCTCAGTCTGTTAAGTGTCTGCCTTCAGCTCAGCTCATGATCCCTGGCCCTGGGATCAAGCCCCGCGTCGGGCTCCTTGCTTGGCGGGGGAGCCTGCTTCTCCCTCTGTCTGCCACTCCCCCTTCTTGTGCTCTCTCTGACAAGCAAATAAATAAAATCATTACAAAAACCAGAAAAACAAAAAGCCACAGCCACTGTCCTGGGCTGGGAAGCTTCACAGATGGTAGCATTCAGTTTCCACCCATGGGAAGCAGAGGCCATTGACTGCTCAGGGCTGTCATGAGCTGAGTCAGAGAAGCAAAACTATGGGCAGGTGAAGGGGTCTAAATTTTTTTGAGAAGGTATAAAAACAATGATTTTCAAAATGTGGCAGATGGGAACAACAATCCTACCCATCGTGTCAAGAAATCAGTGTAAACTTGTCCCTAACTATGAATCTCTTCAGCAGGTTTAAGCAGTTTGTTGAAGGGCTGCTTCTGTTCTATTTTGTTACAAAGACCAAATATTAATAGAAGGATTAAGTTTTTAAAAATGCCCGACGTGAGCAACCAGACAGTTACCTTCAGTTTTCAAATGTTTGAAGGCTTTCACAGGACTTACCGATAGAATTATTTTCATCTTCCCGCTAACTGCATGCTCCATCTCTCTGAGATGAGACCACAGAACACAGCAGGTCTCAAGTTTTTGTTTTTTTTTTAAAGATTTTATTTATTTATTTGACAGAGATCACAAGTAGGCAGAGAGGCAGGCAGAGAGAGAGGAAGGGAAGCAGGCTCCCTGCTGAGCAGAGAGCCCGATGCGGGACTCGATCCCAGGACCCTGGGATCATGACCTGAGCCGAAGGCAGTGGCCCAACCCACTGTCTCAAGTTTTATTAGCAACAAAGTCCTTGTTTGTGTTAGGATGAGATCTTGTGAGGAGTCCCAGTTAAAAAAAAACCAAAAAACAAAAAACCCACCAGCATTTTACTCTCAGTGCATTTTATCAGCTTACTTTTATGACGGTATTTACAAGTCGATCAAAGAGAACAGGGTGCCCGGTTGAAGAAGGGGGTCAGCCCAATTTTTCTGGCCAATATTAATCACCATTCTAGACTTTGCGGACCGGCGAGGTCTCTGGTTAACCCCTCAACTGCCACGTGCTCGAGCACCCCTGGGCAACTCGTGCAGGAATAGGTATGGTCATGTTCCCTCTGAACTTTCCAAGAGGCGAGAGGGCACCCCTAACAGGGAGGGAAGCGCAAGTTGTTCCATCCAGCCTGGGCTCTAGTGATCGCAGTGTCAGTTACATAGTATCAAGGAGTCCTGACTGATGTTGCTAAGAAGTTAGCACTAGAGCTAACGCTGGCAGCCTTGCCGGATCCAGAGAGCCTCTAATTAAAGTATTCCAGAAGCCCCACTGTGAATCTTCCATTTGCTCATGCAGGATCCCACACACAACTATGAAATCAAGCTCATTTTCTATGTTGTACTTTCTCTAAACAGTCTGATCAAGTTACTGAGCACTGAGAGGTGGGTTCCGCTGCTCCTCTGACGGCAGATTTTAGGTCCTATTTGGGCGGAGCCCTCCTGGCAGCGGCCATTCCGAGCAGCCGCACTGCTGTGCGCTCATCACACCGTTGGGCAATGGCAGGACACTCTGGGGTGGATGGGAGTGCTTCTATAAACAACACTGGGGAGGCTGGATAGAGAGCCCCAGGCCAGCCCAGAAGCATCCCCAATTTCCAGATGCCCCATAGGACAGCCCCACCGTGGCAGGCCATCTGCCACAGCCCTTGACTACTGGGCCCAAGGAGGCTCTGCAGGGCTGTGGCCTCAATAATGGACCTGTGAGCTGCCTGGACTTCGGGGTGCCCTTTTGACAGGGCGCCCCATTGCCAACAGCAGCACAGAGCTGTTGTCTTCCTCAGCCAGGCACTGTCACAGGTGGTCCAATATACTTAGCTACTTGGGGAGAATCTTTTTAAAAGGCATCTCAGAAAACCAGCTCATATAGTCCTCTGATAGCACAAGATGTTTTGCAGGTAGTCTCTGAAGTGTAAAATATGGTCTACAGCAGGAGAAAGTTTGGGTCCTTTTAAAAGTAATTTACCATAATTTACATCAAATGTTTATGGACCAAACTCCACAGCAGGGAACGGAATTTGAAAGTCAATACCATAACAGAGCGCGATGCAGGAAGAACAGGGCCCAGAACTGGGGAGGCAGAAGCTAGGAGACGTGCAGCTCACCTCCACCCCTGGGGGGCCAGGATCCCCAGGTGCCCAGCACTGTTGGCACAGAGCAAGTAAACAAGCAAGGAACATCATCCACCAGAACACGGGTTTTCATGTCCCCCCCCACAAGCTGAGGTCCTCTTCCTCTGTTTACCCGAAGCTTTGCCGACAGGGTGGGACTAGGTGGGGACAACTGTCGTGACATGCTCTGTGAACAGTTTTGAGCCCTCGAATGGGAGGTGAGTGTTAGTTCCAGGGAACTACAAAGCGATGTCTAGTTGATGTCACTTTGTCTTCAAGGGAAAGCCCTGCCCTTTGCAGAAAAAGCCAATGTTTGGCCACCGAAATCCCATCAATCTAGGCGTTAAATCCTTCCAGGACCCACACAGCCCTGGTCCTTCAGGAGAAGAGGCTCCTCCTCCCAGGTTTCAGAGCCACAGATGGAGACCAGGGTGCTGTGTGGTGTGGGGGCACATGGGCTCGTGGGTCTCAGAGACGTTGCCCTACTCATGATGGCCCTGTTACCCTCTATCACTCATTTCTGTTGCCCCCAAATCGTGCCTCAAGACACCAGACTTCGGATAACTAAAAATCGATAAGGAAAAATAAACAGCCCTTATGAGAAATGACAACGAGCAAGTCTCTTCCTAGAGGATCTTTGAGAACTGCAAAGCTTGTAGAAGAGGGTTCAAGGACAGCACCATTTGCAAAGGCATGCCATGATCTTCGGATTTAAGAAGTGGGTGCGGGCCTCTTCTGGAGCTCAGACATTCTGTCCCCAAATTATTTTTATCCAATATGCGTTGAAGCATCCCACGTGGCCACATCGCTGACCTCAAGCTAAGAGTCCTCCAGCGTCGGAGGGAATCTCTATACGTAAATAGGCAGACAACTGAAGGAAGAAAACATACGTGATTTACAAGTGATCCGGAGAGAAGTCTGTACAGTATGGGACACACTGGGGCCAAGAACTAGAGTGGGCTGTTGTTAGAAGGGGTGCTGGGGGGGGGGGCACCTGGGTGGCTCAGTTGGTTGGGCGACTGCCTTCAGCTCAGGTCATGATCCCGGAGTCCTGGGATCAAGTCCCACATCAGGCTCCCAGCTCCATGGGGAGTCTGCTTCTCCCTCTGACCTCCCCTCTCATGCTCTCTCACTCTGTTTCTCTCTCAAATAAATAAATAAAATTAAGTTAAAAAAAAAAAAAGAAGGGGTGCTGGGGAGACTTTGTAGGGTGGCAGTATGCTTGTGCTTCTCGGGAGATGAGCAGGTGCACACTGTGGGGTGTTTGGGGACAGGACCCCAAGAAGAGGCACAGGGCCATGAAGTGGCATGTGTCTGGGAGGCTGCAAGCGGGTAGAACGGGGATGCTGGATGAGAAGAGAGGAGAAGAGGGAGAGAGGCAGGGCCCAGGTGGTGGAGGCTCCTGAGCTCCAGGGAGTCAAATGAGCTGCAGCCACCTGACCAGAAGGAACTGCAGTGATGACAGGGTGCTCTCCCAGAAGACTTGGACACAAGAATAAGGGCCGACTCCCATTAGCCACCCGGCCCCACTTCCGGTGGCCAAGAGTATCACGAACTGCCTTCCCCAGAAATGGATTTACAACCACCGGGCCCTCTTGTGCACGTTTCCCATGTACTGAATACTTTCCAGCTTGTGACGGGTCATGGTATTACCCCCATTTTACAGATGAGAACAATCAGGCACAGAAAGTTAGAGTACATTGTCTAGATGCCAGAGCTGTTAATTAGCAGGGCTTAACTGCACGCAGGCAGTCGGACTCAGAATCCACATCCCTAACCTGGGGGGTATGGCTAAGGAAACTCACGCGCGCAGCCCAGAGGGTGCACAGGTGACAGCATCTTGGGTCACACGGTTCTTGCATTGCCCCCTCAGGGGTTCCAGAACGGCCTGAGCCCAGAGGGTGCCTGTAGGGAAGGATGAAGTTTTATGATGCCCAGCACTTACTTACATTTACGACAAAGCCATAAAGCACTTGCTGGACTACCGGCCTCGGAGAAAGCCCAGCGATGGCTTTCTAGTTCGGATAATGTGCAGAGTGGCCACATTACGGAAGCCTAACGATCTCTCTTCTGACAAGTACATAACGGAGCAGCACCATGCAAATTAAAAATCTGACCAACAGCCCAGGACCTAGGAGGATTATAGATGAACCTTAGAGAAATTGATCATTTTCAACAAAAAGAAAAGAGCACAGTAGGCAGCCGGTGGCCGCGTCTGCAGCTGGTAAGAAAGTGACCTCAGGGGTGACTTCTGCAACCAGGACAGGTAACCAGGCATGAAGGCCACAGAGGCTTCTCTGGGAGGTAGTTTCACAGTGGCCTGTGGCTGTGGCTCAGGGAAGAGGAAGCGGCCACGGGGCCAGAGGCTTGCCTCAGCCCACAGGAGCCGAGCAGGAATTTTGAAAGCTAGAAGGATTTAATTCTTTCAAGCTCGTTATGGGGCAGTGGTATTATTATCCCTCTTGTGCAGGTGGGGCAGCTGAGGCAAAGGAAGCACAAGTACCTGGCCCAGAGGACACAGCTCTCGAGTGGCAGAGCCGGATTTGAACCCACGACTAGAGAGATGTTGAGGCTGGGATTGCTCCAAGCCAGGTGGTTCTGTGAGCCCCAGGGCTTCTGCCAGAGGATGCGGGCCAAACTACACTCCAGCTGCTCTGGTCCTAAACCCCACCCGGTAGGCAAG